ATTAAGAATAACACAAGGGTCGGCAAATTATGACAAAATGTTTTCAGAATCATTTTTGAGTGAACTGTCTCTTTAAAGCATTCTACAGAGGTGATTGTTTTGGTGTTGCCATTGCTCATCTGTTTTACGACGTTACTGTCATGACTTTGCAATGGGTTGCCATCATGGTTACAGACTTCATTGTGTTCATGGTCACAGAACTGACTGTATGTGTTTTCTCATCGTTTCAGGGGGGTTGGCAGATCGCTGAATTCTCCACCAGTGCATATGAGAGTCCATGGTTCTGTGACAATGTACCAGGCATGAAAACAATAAAAACATTTAAACATCTCAATTACATATGCACATGCAAAAAACACACACAACAGAGCTGAAAATGGGAAGTGAATTCTGGAAGGTGAATATGAATTATTGAATTTTTAATTATGAAAATGTGTGTGAAATATTTTGAATTGAAATATTCACAGCTTAAATAAACAACTATGTTAAATTTCAGGACCTAAAAATGCAAGCCTTGAAAATACAAGGCATTAAAATGCAAGCACTGTTAATACCATACATATTTTTTTTCAGTTCAGTTTTGCAATTCAACAAAACTAATGTTTTTTTTTTTATGAAAAAGGAAAAGAAAGTGATGACGTTACCACACCTAATATAAACATATAAAAATGACTATTTTGCATAAACGCATACCTAAAATATTTATGTTAAATAAGTGAATAAAGATTTGTTATTTATATCATTTTTTAACAATTTTTCCCTAAAAATATAGCTAGTCATGAACATCTAAATCTTAGACATATATATACATTGTGTTCATGGTCACAGAACTGACTGTATGTGTTTTCTCATCGTTTCAGGGGGGTTGGCAGATCGCTGAATTCTCCACCAGTGCATATGAGAGTCCATGGTTCTGTGACAATGTACCAGGCATGAAAACAATAAAAACATTTAAACATCTCAATTACATATGCACATGCAAAAAACACACACAACAGAGCTGAAAATGGGAAGTGAATTCTGGAAGGTGAATATGAATTATTGAATTTTTAATTATGAAAATGTGTGTGAAATATTTTGAATTGAAATATTCACAGCTTAAATAAACAACTATGTTAAATTTCAGGACCTAAAAATGCAAGCCTTGAAAATACAAGGCATTAAAATGCAAGCACTGTTAATTCAATTCATAATTTTTTCAGTTTTCAACTTTTTTGTTTCAAAGACATTTGTCATTAATTTTCTTCCATAGGGGAAACGAGGAACAGCGAAGACGTTGAATTAAAAGTAACCACAATCAGCTTTTGATTGTGACATATTGATACTGGCCCTGATAATCATAACTTCTACTTTCCGCTTGCTCCATTTCTGCAGATCAGTTTTTGTGAATGAATGAAATGTGCCGAAACAACTGCAATGGTGAGAGTCGTAAGCATCAAATTTAGATTTCAGAAATGAACTTTTTTTTTTTTTTTTCAGGTTTACCTTCATGAGGGTGTATTTTTCCTGACCACTTTAAAAATGAGATAATCTATTATGTCTTAACAATAAAAATTTATATCTGCATAAACTAATATTTATAAAATAAAACATAGAATTAAGCGTAGAATAGAATTGTAATTTATTAGGCGCACATTTGCCCCCATATTTTGTTTTTTGAGGGCATTTCTGTCATGTCAGATGGCCTAAAACCCTCTTAAATGGATAGTTCACCCAAAAATGAAAATTACCCCATGATTTCCTCACCCTCAAGCCATCCTAGGTGCATATGACTTTCTTCTTTCAGATGAATGCAATCAGAGTTAAATTTTAAAAATGTCCTGGCTTTTCCAAGCTTTATAATGGCAGTGAATGGGTGATATTCAATAGTCCAATAGAATTCCAATAAACTGCGCCAACCCATCATAAAAAAGTTCTCCACACGGCTCCCTGGGGTTAATAAAGGCCTCCTGAAGCAAACTGATGTGTTTATGTAAGAAAAATAGCCATATTTAAAACTTTATAAACCGTAATCTCTAGCTTACGCTAACTGGAGAGTGGCGTTCCAGCGGATGACGTAGCATAAGCTCCGTTGAGAAGTGACAAACATGGAAATGCTGAGAAGAGAGCAAAACAAACACCAGTCATGAATTAGAAGTACAAAATGAGGATTTGTAAAGAAAAATGTCAGAGGATGTCAATGTAAGCCAAGAGGAGACTGGTTTTCCTTTACTGTAAACAAAACTTGGTTCTTGCGAGACTAGCATATTCTCACCAGAGCTTACGCTACGCCTACATCCTACCTCATCCACTGGAACGCCACTCTCGTGAACACGCGGACGACAGTTAGTGGAAGCTAGAGATTACGGTATATAAAGTTTTAAATACGGCTATTTTTCTTACGTGTCAGTTCACTTCAGGAGGCCTTTATTAACCCCCCGGAGCCGTGTGGAGCACTTTTTATGATGGATGGATGCATTTTATTGGACTACTACTGGACTATTGAATATCACCCATTCACTGCCATTATAAAGCTTGAGAGAGCCAGGACAGTTTTTAATATAACTCAGATTGTATTAGTATGAAAGAAGAAAGTCATATACACCTAGGATGGCTTGAGAGTGAGTAAATTCTGGGGCAAACTAATTTTCATTTTTGGGCAAACTATCCTATTAAAGGGACAGATCATGCAAAAATTTAAATTCTGTAATCATTTACTCACTCTCATGTCATTCCAAACGTGTATGATTTTCCCTCTTCTGTGAAACATAATAGAAAATATTCTGAAGAATGTTGGTAACCAAACAGTTTCGGTTCCTGTTGACTTCCATAGTATTTTTTTGTCCCTACAATGGAACTGAAACTGTTTGGTTGCCAACATTCTGACCCTAAATAAATAAAAACAGACACAAAGAATAGTACATAGCTAAAGGAATTTGAAAATCTCAGGTTATTTGGTCTTGAGCAAATTTGTAAAGAAAGATTGCAGACTATCTTGGTAAATCTAAACTCAGTTTGAGACTTATGCAAAATCGGTTGGATCAGACTAATTTTGTGTACATGTGTATCAGATTAGTCTCCATTTAATGTCATTCCTGTTTAGGAGAAACAGCTGAGGAAACTCTTTCCTATGAGTATATGCAAACCAGTCACTTATAAAGCTCCTCTCCCTTTCCTTAAGGATGTAGATATGCAGGTAATGATTATCCAAATGGAATGGAATTTCCTCATCCAGTAGACAAATGCAGGACGTGCCGTTGTGAAGTAAGTGATTCTTTTTCATCACTACTGTTCAAACATTTGGTGTCGGTGAGATTTGTTGTTGTTGTTGCATGTTTTGATCAAAAATACAGTAAAAATATATTATAACATATTATTACAGTTTAAAATAACTGTATATATTTAATAATATTAAATATATTTAAAAATGCCATTTATTCCTGTGATGCAAAGCTGAATTTTCAGCATCAACAATAATGTACATTATGTGGAAAATAATGTGTTATTTAAACACATTGCATTACACCAAATACACAACATAATGTTCTTTTTAGCAACGTCATATGACCCTTTTAAAATAAAATCTCATTATAAATGTCTTTTCTGTCACTTTTGATCAATTCAATTAATCCTTCATGAATAAAAGTATTAATTTCTTTCAAAGGAAAATCATACTGACCCCAGCTTTTGAACAGTAGTGCATCCACACACATCAGAGTCATACTGTAGATCTGTGTCATGTATCTGTGTCTGTTTGTAGAATGGTAACATCCAGTGTCTGATGAAGCGGTGAATTGTGCTGCTGCATTCGTTCCTTCAAGAGAGTGCTGCCCCCAGTGTCCAGGTCACACTGCTGCTCTTATACTGCAGCCACATCATGTCTGAATTACTATTGTATTTTTACATAATGACAATTTGGACAATTTGCTAGTCAGCAACTCAAAATTACTGTAATTCCACCATGATGTGATGCGTCATTACAGCTTCTTTTTATATTTCCATTTCTTTAAGTGTAATTGCATGTAAAATCTCATTTCTTACAGTCAGTCATGCTCCTGCATCAATGGGGTGGAGAGCTGCCACTGCAGGCCCTGCCCCTCTGCTGTCTGCTCTCATCCCACAATTCAAGAGTGCTGTCGCACATGTGATGGTGAGACATTTCATACAAACATCAGCAAGAGCATGTGAGAGCTTAAATAAGGTTTCATCAATGTATATGTATGCATAAATGAGTATCTGCATATTAGGATAATTTCTGAATGATCATGTGACACTAAAGACAAGAATATATATATATATATCATATATATACCCAAAATCAGTATTGTATCTGGTCGGTATTGAAAAGTCAATTTGTAATTTTACGCAAAATGCGATATCCGCTGAGTTATTCTGTCATGTTTTCTCCCTTTCTTTCCAAACCGCGACAAACGCCAGTCTCCCTTTTCTGCAGAATGCGATATATCCACTCAACCAATCACAGCGCACCATTCCACGCACTGTAAACAGTAACAACCAATCACAGCGCACCATTCCACTACTCTAGACAGTAATGGCGGCGCTTTGAATACACCCGGTGTTCTGTCGATTTGTGCGAATCTACACAAATATACATTTTGTATATGTACAAAACATATTGTTTAAACATTTTCATTGCTTACCTTGCAAATGTTATTTTGTACATTTCAACCTATTTTAGATTTTTATTATAAGCCTTTTTTTTTTATTGTTTTTTGCTCATTTGAATGTTCACCATTCAAAATAGAACTGATAGTCATGATGTCATACTTGCATTATGGTTTGTGATTTGACTTCTTTCTTATTCATGTATGTTTCTTAAGCGACATCTTAAGCGATGATATAATGATGTCATCAGTGATGTCAAATATTACAGATGATATAATCAGCTAAACTTTTTTTGTCTGCCAAACCATTTTGACCTAAAATATTTCATATTTAGAAGTATTCGTTCATATTTCAATCATTTAAAGGGATAGTTCACCCAAAAATGAAAATTCTGTCATTAATTACTCACCCTCATGTCGTTCTTCAGCAATTCCTCTCTTCCGCCTCAAGGCTGATTTATACTTCTGCGTCGGACCTACGCCGTAGCTTACGCATAGACGCACACCCATACGCCGTAGCCTGACGTGCACCTCTCCAAAAATCTAACAGCGCGTCAATTCTACGCAGACCGCAAGCGCTGTGATTGGTCTGCAAGAACCCCTCCCTTACGGCGTAGGTCCGACGCAGAAGTATAAATCAGCCTTCAGCCTCTGCCGCCATTCACGAGAGTATGTGTGTGCATTCCTCTGCTTGTAAACAGATTGCAACTCTTTATATTTTCAGTATACATTAAATAATTGAATATATCCACGGCAATCTCTGAGACCCGCCTCTGAACATCACGTGGAGTCAAATCAGATTGTCTGCAAAGTATAAATGTTATTGAATCTTGTTTTTAATCAATACTAATATCTGATGAACCACAACAAGCTCTTGAAATCAAAATGAAATCAGAACTTACTTTATTTCGTGTCAGTTTACATTCCTGGTCTTATTCTGTAATGATTCTTTAGTGCACGTTATTTCAAATAAAAAAAGTTTGTAATATTAAAAAAAATAAAAATAATAATAATAATAAAACATCCTATTTCACTCAGAAATACACCAGATTACTATGGATGCTTTTTTTTCTGCCATGGGATTAAAACAGAAAATAGTTAGAATTGTGATATATAATCTCAGAATTGCAAGAAAAAAAGAGTTTATATCTCACAATTCTGACTATTTTTTTTTCTCAGGATTCCAAGAAAAAAAGTCAGAATTATGAGATAAAAAGTAGTTTTTTTTTATTCTGGGATGGAAACGGGCTTCGCCGAATTGCGAATCAAGTTTTGTGTTGACTTTAAAATGCTTGAACTTAAAGCACATTCGATTTTTACTTTATATCTCAAACCACATAAACAGTCTTCTACTGTATACTGCATTTAGTTGTTTTCTTGAATTGTTTTATTGGTGCTATTGTGTGTAAGTGTTTCTGACGGATTATAGGACACAGGGTTAACGTGTTTAATGGAGCTAATTTACATTTCTTCCACTGATAGCCAGCTGGACAAAGTTTCCCTTTTTTTCTCACCACAGAACAAGAGTGCAAAGAGGAAAAAGCTTTTGTTTTTAATCATGGCGTGTTAAAAATCTCATTATAAGTTGCTTTTCTGGACTTTTCTTCTTTAATTTGATATTTTGAAACAATGAGTTGAACAATATGGTACTGCAAATCTGCATTGTTATATCTGCACTGTTTTTGATGGCTCTTTTTTTTGCGCTGTTTCACTGGTATTGTGTTTTCCATATTTTGTCACTCTTTTTAAATACATAGTTTTATTAGCAATATATTATAAAGACACTTCATTTACAACATTGACAGTGAATATAAAAATAGAAGCACAATAAAAGCTGTTATTATTTTGAGTTATGTTTGTTATATTCATCAGATGTATTGACATTCTCTGGTTCTGTAAGCCGTCAGTTTTTGTGTGTCATAAACATTGTATTCTTATATTTAGTGTGTCACGTTATTACACAAAATCCCACTTTTACTCAGCCTGTGTTTGTTCTTGTTTTGCATCTAAAATGGTTTATTCATATTACCCTTTTAGTGGGGAAAAAAAAACATTTTTTCACATTTACATTTGCTTTACACTATTTTAATTTGAATATGAACAATTGGGGGATTTTTTGCCATCATTTGAGTCACCGGATAAATAAAACGGTACAAAAAAGCAACCCAATTTTGCTATGTAAGCATGCATTAAAAACATTTGATTTAAAAACATCTAAAATTTTATTTAGATTTACGGCAGACAAAACAACTGGTTATATCATTTTAATAAATATAGTGTTTATAGTCTTATAATATTTGGTTGCTGTTACAAAAATCAGACAAATTCAATTTCTTCCAGAAAAGTTGATATAAAAAATGAAGCCTATCATAAGTAGCTATCTATCAATGATTCAGCCAGGCTTTTTAGTGTTTGTTTGTGTAAGTATCTTCGTTGTTTGAAATTTGTTGCTAAATTTAGCAACTTTTCACACTACCCTAGCAACTTTTTCTTCCAAAAGCACCTAGCAACAAATGTAGCTATTTTTAAAAATTTATTTGGCAACATTTAGCAACTTTTGATAAGTGACTCAAACGATAAAAAAGCACACATTTTCCATCTAAATTACACAAAAAGAGGAAACCAAAGGTGCCTAGCAGTACACACATCACATGAATTAAGTTAGCTGCTATTTGCAACTGTTTAATTGAATAATAAAAATAATTGAATAATTGTTCATTTATGATACACCTTGTTAGTAGCTTGTACTTGAGATTGTTGATCAGTTAGTGCATGGTAAGAAAAATATCTAGAAAAATGAAAAAGGTACTAGTAATTTTCCAGGATATTATCCGTTATCCTTTTTCCATTATCCATTGTAACCCTGTAACCCGAAAACACAAAATACAATGCGTAATTTAAAATATAGGTAAAAAACCTGTGAATAATAGTTACGGAAAATTCCTTCATATTAGTAGATTTTGCCCTATTTTTACAGACTTTTCTTAGAGTGTAGCATACTAACTACTAATACACTGCTTAAAACTATAATTGTTCAGAATGTGTAGTTTACTAGCTAATAAAAATAAACTTAAATTGTAATCGTTCAAAAATGTGAAAGTGTTAAATAATTCAGTGTTGTATTTAATATTCGTTATTTATATAGTTATATTATTTTATAAACACATCTAAATTAACATATATAAATGTTATTTTTTTGCTGAGATTTGATGCAGTGACACAATTTTGCATCGTGATTCCGCAATGACGTCACCACGCAATGACATCGCAACGTCATTTAGCAACTTTTAGCAACAACCTGCATTGGTGGTATAGTGGTGAGCATAGCTGCCTTCCAAGCAGTTGACCCAGGTTCGATTCCCGGCCAACGCATTTCCTAGGGGGAAGTCGTGGCCTAATGGTTAGAGAGTCTCGTACTGGCAGGGATTGTAGGTGGGGGGAGTGAATGTACAGTGCTCTCTCCCACCTTCAATACCACGACTGAGGTGCCCTTGAGCAAGGCACCAAACCCCCAACTGCTCCCCGGGTGTGTGTGTTCACTGCTGTGTGTGTGCACTTAGGATGGGTTAAACGCAGAGCACTAATTCCTAGTATGGGTAACCATACTTGGTCACTTTCACTTTGTCACTTTGTCACTTTCACAAATCAACCTTCCTTTAGCAACTTCCCCTGAAAATGAGTTGGCAACACTGCTGAAGGTCTTCTTCTGTAATCTGACTCTAATGGTTTCCTCAGCAACAGACGTGGCTTTGTTGTAATCATGCATCATTCATGAAGATAAACTCAGTGAACAGGTGAGACACTTTCTCTTTAGGTAGAACTATCTGTTATGTTTGAATTTGATTGAAGTACGACAAGAACTCATTTCATTATGTTGACTGTGTGTGTAGTGTATATATGTATATACATTTTTATTTTTGTATTTATTTAATTTCAAGGCATTTAGGACAATGAAATCGAGCTTACACAAAGTGCCTTGTCTTTTATAGGATGGAAGAGTGTTTGCATTTGGTCTGTGAGTCGATGGGTGTACATGAGGATGATGATGTCGGCGTGGACGTGATCTGTTCCCTCTATAAGAGCGTCTTCCTCATCACCGCCAGCCTGGATGAGACAAAGAGAGCCATTATACAGGTGAACAAGACCTTCTGCTGTCTCAGAAGCTCATGAATGAGACAGAAAAGAGAAGCAGAAAGAAAAAGAAAATGTTTTGTGTGATATGTTCAGGTCAGAGGTCAGAGTGGAGGCTTGTCATGTCCAGCCAGAGGAGTTCTGCATGTTCTCCTAGTGATGGAAAAACAACGTGACAACAGAGAAGAGGTATTTCTTCATTTAATTCATCGATATTTCCATATAATATTCTGCTTCATTCTATATTTCTCTTATTTATACTAAATCTAAATTAAGATAATACATTATATTGCAATATAAACATGTTATATATTATGTAGTTATTAAGATTTTTCCTTTGAACTAATCTACATTTACATTTAGTCATTTAGCAGACGCTTTTATCCAAAGCGACTTACAAATGACGACAATAAAAGCAGTCAAAACTAACAAAAGAGCAACAATATATAAGTGCAAATGACAAGTCTCAGTTAGCCTAACGCAGTACACGTAGCAAGGTGTATATATTTGGGCAGGTCATTCCACTAGGAGGGAACAGTTAATGAAAAAATCATAATCTGACCAAGAATTGAGAACTTGATTCTGGAAATAAATGCTCTGATGTCTGCCAGGACATTTTCTATGGCTTTTTTTTTTCTTACTGTGAACCTTTGCCTTGTCAGATATTTATCTTTGTTTTAAGGCCTTTTGGGTGTGTGAATGTGAAATTGTGAAATTACATTATATAAATTGTGACGTTATATTGTTGCAAATTAAAAGATGTGAACGGCTTATAATTTCTGTAGCTGTACTGGGATCTCCAGATGTTGAAGGCTGGTAGAATCAATCATAAACAAAAAACACAATCCTCAACAATCAACTTTAGCTCCAGACAACAGGTAGAAAACCAAGTCATATTATTCTATTCTATTCTATTCTATTCTATTACATGAGCACACATAACACTGTATAATATAATATAATTATATACAATATAGTACAATATAATTATGATTCCATATCTAATATATTAATTTATATTGATGTTTTACAATTTGTTTATTTTTTTAATTGTTTATTTTGTATGCTTTTGGTTAATCAGCTTTGCACTCTATTTCAGTTCATGATCATTCACTCATTTGTTAATCACTTTGGAGAAAGGTGTCTGCTAAATATATGTGGGCATCTTTTTTTTTCTAGAAGCAGGATCCAGAGCAGTTTATTATCTTGTGTCTTCAGAACAGAGCCAAGAGACTTTGCACCAGGTTATTTACACACACTCTTTCATTCAGCTGCTCACAATCACATTGAACAAATTGACTATATATTCATGCTGCTTTCTGTTTAGACTCGTTCTTGACGGCGTGTGGAGTGTCCTACCGTCTCTTTCTCAGAGGAACGCCGGCGTCATGCGACCGGGCACGATCTGTCCCAGCACTACCGACATCCTCCAGCTCCTGTATTACAAATATGAGGTCATCAGAGAGCGACTGTACAGAGAGATGTTACAAGATGAATATGGTAAGAAATATTCCTAAATGGAGTTCATAAATGCTCCTTTTCACAGAACAGTTTACCAGTATCTTTTTGCACATCATTACAGGTGTTGTTTGGTGGAACTCGATGTCAGCGTGGGATCAGACAGAATGTGTGTGTGAATTAGGAGTGTGTGTAGAGCTGGCTTTCAGACACAGAGACTGGCTTCAGGTGTGTGGGCTTCCCGGGGCCCTCCGTTGCTACAGGTACTACTTGTTATTTGTGCATTTGCTAAATTTTGAGTCTGCCATGAAATATTTGGTGTTTAAACCCAAATATACTTACACTGTAGAAAAGAAAGAAACACTTTACTTGAAGCCTTTATAAAGTGAAGTGACATGTGGCCAAGGAATTAGTGCTCTGCATTTAACCCATCCTAAGTGCACACACACAGCAGTGAACACACACACACCGTGAACACACACCCGGAGCAGTGGGCAGCCATTTATGCTGCGGCACCCGGGGAGCAGTCGGGGGTTCGGTGCCTTGCTCAAGGGCACCTCAGTCGTGGTATTGAAGGTTATTGAAGGTGGCAATCCCTGCCGGTACGAGACTCGAACTCGCAACCTTTGAGTTACAAGTCCAACTCTCTAAGCATTAGGCCACGACTTCCCCCGTGAATTTATGTATAATGAATTATAAAGATATTCATAATATATGTTATAATGCATTACTGTATATCTTTTCACTTGCACTGACTTTTACCTTAACTGTTCCCTGCTGGTGGAATAACCTGCCCAGCTCAATCTGAGCAGCTGAGTCCTTAACCATCTTCAAGAAACGGCTAAAAACACGTCTCTTCCATCTACACTTGACCCTCTAACACTAGCACTCTCTATTATATTTCTATTATATCTTCGTTTTCTTTTTATTTATTAAAAAAACGACCCTCTATCACTAGCGTTCTCTATTCTTTTTCTATCTACTTGTTTTCTTTTTATTATATATATATATTTAAAATAAACTTGCTATGTGTACTGCGTTAGACTAACCGAGACTTGTCACAGCACTTACATATTATTAGTGTTTTGTTAGTTTTGTTTGCTTCTATTGTCCTCATTTGTTATTCGCTTCAGGTAAAAGTGTCTGCTAAATGACTAAATGTAAATAAATAATTGCAATCAAAGTAAAATGCATTATGGTATTTGCAGATTGTTTGATGAATCTGAAATTGGTTGTTTGTCATGTGTTTCAATGGATTATACTTTCTAAAGGTGTAACAATGAATAGATAAGTTTTATAATGTATTATAACTGGTTACAATTATTCATGAGATCATACAATGCATTATAATTTGCATTATGAGGCATGATGCATTCAAAATACTGATAACACTTTAATAAAGTTTTAATTATTAATATAAGTTAACTGCATTCTTTAACATGAACTAATGATGAAAAATACTTCTAAATAATTTATTTAACTTAATGTTAATTTCAGCATATACTAAAACATTAATAAAATCCAAAAAGCTGTATCTGTTAATATTATGAAATGGATTTGCGCTAATACGAACTAACAATGAATAATTGTGACCCTGGACCACAAAACCAGTCATAAGGGTCAATTTTTCGAAATTGAGATTTATACATCATCTGAAAGCTGAATAAATTTAATAATACAAAATAATATATAAAAAAAGCTTTCCATTGATGTATGGTTTGTTAGGATCGGACAATATTTGGCCGAGATACAACTATTTGAAAATCTGGAATCTGAGGGTGCAAAAAAAAAATCTAAATATTGAGAAAATAGCCTTTAAAGTTGTCCAGATTTAGTTCTTAGCAATGCATATTACTAATCAAAAATTAAGTTTTAATATATTTACAGTAGGACATTTACAAAATATCTTCATGGAACATAATCTTTATTTAATGTCCTAATGATTTTTGGCATAAAAGAAAAATCAATCATTTTGACCCATACAATGTATTTTTGGCTATTGCTACAAATATACCCCAGCGACTTAAGACTGGTTTTGTGGTCCAGGGACACAATTGTACTTTGATTAACTAACATTAACAAAGATTAGTAATTAATTTATTGCTCATTGTTAGTTAATGTTAGTTAATGCATTAGCTAATGTTCAAATTATCATTAACTAATGGGACCTTATTGTAAAGTGTTACCAAAACACTCTTTTATAATCCGTTATATAAAGGCTTCAAGTAAAATGATTAGTTATATTTGATGAATATGGCAGGAGCTGTGGTTCTGTGGTCTTGCGAGGCTGTCCTGAGAGTGTTAAATCTAGAGATCAGGCTTGGTCATCTAAACCGAGGGAACAGGCCTGGTCCGCTGTCATCTTCCTGTCGGAGCTGGACTCACATTATCAAGATGAGAAGGAATCGATCAGCGCGCTCATGAACAGGTCATTCTATTGTGTTCATCAGTTGATGAATTCTCATAAATGCATGTGATTGGCTTAAAGCATCAGTAGGTCTCATATATCTCAGATAAAGTCGATTTAGGCCAGACACATGATGGCTGTTACTGATGTATTTTTATGTCGTAGAATAAAATGTGAAAGTATCTTGAGCTTGTGTTGACCACAGACCTTAATTCAGGTGTTTTAACAAAAATCCATTCTAAAAACCTTTGCGACGTGCTAAGACACAACTCGTTTACAGATTGTGGCCTACAAAAATACGTCTTCCCTTCAGCACATAATAAATAAGCATGCATAACTAGAACTTTGACATTCATATACTGACATAGTTAAGCATGACCTTTTAATGTCAATATCGATCTGTAATATTAAACATATTATGCTAATGGTTGCAGATGTTGTGTTGTGATTTATTGCTCCTGTAGATTGGGACAGGAAGCTCTGCATGTTATATATCTCAATATGTGTGTTGCTCTGCGGAGAGCCGAGAGAGAGAATCAGTCCTACACGGCACTGCTGGTCGCCAGACAGCACTGGGACAGATGGTGAGCGTGTTAAATATGGGAAGTGGACACATCATCCGTATTTAAAACATTACATGCTGACACATCCACCTATTTTCACTCCGAAGTCTGCAAGCTTGAGTCCAAACCATCTCTGTGTGCTCTAGGCCTTGTATGAGAGGTTCAGTCAGTCAGGATCTCACCAGGATCTGGATTCAGGAAAATGTGGATCCCACTGCTAAAAAACAGCAGGGCTGGAAAACAGGAAATTGCGCACAAAAGGTACTGTGTGCACAGATACATGACATTTGCTGCCTTCAAGTCCTCCAAATTCCTATTCATGAGTTCAGAAGTTACAGTATGTTGTGTTATAAGTTCAAGGGATTTGGGTTGGAATGAAATGAACATGTTTGGTGCTCACTAAGGCATAAGATACTTTTTATTTGATCAAAAATATAGTAAAAAATAGTAATAATGTGAGTAGTATTACAATTTAAAAGAATTGTTTTCTATATATTTTAAAATGTAATTTATTCCTGTGATGTAAAGCTGAATTTTCAGCATCATTACTCCAGTCTTCAGTGTCACATGATTCTTCAGAAATCATTCTAATATGCTGATTTGATGCTCAAGAAACAGTCTGTTGTTTTGGACCCGTTTTTGGACCCGTTTTTGGTCCGCGGAGTTTAAGTTAAGAAACATTTCTTATTAATTCAACAGTTTAATATTTTTGTGTAAACCATAATACATTTTTCTTCAGGAATATATGATGAAAAGAAAGTTCAAAAGAACAGCAATATAAATCATTTGTAACATTATAAATCTCTTTACTGTCAATTTTGATCAATTTACTGCATCCTTGCTGAATAAAATGTTGTTTATATGAAAAAAAATGTTTATTAAAAAAAAACTTTAAAAAATGTACTGACCCTAAATCCTTCTTATGCTCCCACAAAGAATAATGGGAAATTTAGGAAAAACATGGGAAATTCATTTGGTCTCCTCATAAACCGGCTTCATAAACAGTAAAATAAATACATAGATTCATATGCGATTTTCTTGTAATATAAAATCATTCCAACATGACTTAAAAGCTGAAATATTTGCCTTGTGTTATGTACAGTTTTATAATTGATTGTTTATTTTTTTACCCATCAGGCTGTGCTGCAGTTTTTGGTTCTGTGTCAGGAGCAGGAAAGGAAACGATTGGTGGAGATCTTACACAAGCTTTCCCCGAGTGACCTCGAGGGAAACATTCAGAAAAACAGTTAAAAACATCAACTACATATAAAAACACAAACACCACTACAAAAGTGATATGTTGTTCCAAATGAATATGTTTTGGGTGAACTAGCCGAAATGACTAGTAACTTAGTATTAGATGCACATCAGCTGTAAGATATGCCTCTGGTTTTCATTAAAGTGTGTATACGTCTTTCAGATGTGGTTCATGGAAACGCGGTGGATCAGAGCTGTGTGTGGAGCCTGCAGCAGATTAAAGCCTCTCTACAGGAAGCACATGGTTCTTATACCGGACCATTCGCCCCAGGGTGTTCTGGGATAGGTGTCTCATGGGGGGAATGTGCCACTCATTTGCTGACCCAGCTGACACAGGCACAGGATGATGAGGCCTGGACCGTTTTAAACTCTCTGCCAGATTTGGTGAATCTCAGCATATACAGTATATACTGTACTGTGCAGTAATCAGTATGCAAGTATTGCATTTTGAACAGAACCATAGTATATACTGTAGTAATCCTAAAAGATTAAGTGTGCATTTGTCAAATGTAAACTAAGTTAAAATAGAAAATGCAAATATAATAATAAAGTTAAAGAATATGAAAAGCAAAGTAGTAAGTAAACCAAACATTCTGAATGCATCGTGACAGTGTGCAGAGCAGATGGTGTTTATGTAAGGTATAATGTACATCCAGCTGGTTGTTATCTCAGAATAAACCCCGACAGGGTGATCAGGATCAGTCTTGTATCAGCCTGAAGGGGTTTATTCTGAGATAACAACCGGCTGGATGTACATTATCCCGCTTACACGGCTACTTGCCACATAAGTAAAAACGCAAAGCTTCCACCAAGAAAAAATTGTTCAAGCAAGAGTACAGCGCCGACTGCTGTTACCCGGATGAGCCTGTGTTATTAGCTTTTACCGTATTCCACAGAGCCGTGTAATGTGTCAATAATGTCTCTTTCACTTCTTAGGACCCCGAGGGTCTTTGGACTTTGCTTCGCAAATATGAGAGCGAACTTCACAGACCCAGTTTCAACAACCTGCATGAAGTTTTGCAGTCACGTGGACCAGCGCACGCCAGCAGAGGCACCGGTGCAGTGAACGCTCACAATGTAATGACAAATTACTTCCACACTTACACATTATCAATCACAAATCAAGCTATTAGATCCTTTGTGTTTCATGATTGTTTAGAAAATCATTTATGCACTAGATCTTCAGCAAGGCTTCACTTTTGCTGTTAACAGATGATGCCTACAATCTACTGTATGCAGAGATCTGAAGAAACTACACTCTAAAAAATAAAGGTTTCAAAAAGGCGATACCATAAAAGAACCATTTTTGGTTCCCCAAAGAACCTTTCAGTGAACAGTTCTGAAACAGAACAATTTTTTAGTGTGAAGAACATTTTAATAATCTAAAGAACTAAAGAATCAATAAGGAACCTTTTGTGCAATAGAAAGGTTCCATGGATGTTAAAGGTTCTGGAATCATCAGTGCCAATAAAGAACCTTTATTTTTAAGTGGATGCAATGATCTGCAGAACCTATAGTGTAACATAAAGAACTTTTATAATATCCAGAAAACCTTGTCGCCAACTCAAGAACCCTATCTAGTGAGAAATGGCTCTTGATACACAGAAAGTTCAAGAAACCATTGAGGAACATTCGCTTATAGAGGTTATCCAGATATTCAATTGAAAGGAATACAAGGTGAGCAACTGTTTCCTGTGTCTCTGTTAGGAGAGAGAGAGGACTGAACAGGAACAGGAACAGGAAGAGCTGTCAGATGGTGAAAAAGAAGAACTCTGCACTGGTGAATGACATTCATATGCATAAATATATATATTAAAATGTAATTTATTCCTGTGATGTAAAGCTGCATTTTCAGCATCATTACTCCAGTCTTCAGTGTCGCATGATCCTTCAGAAATCATTCTAATATACTGATTGCCTGCTCAAGAAACAGTTCTTATTACTGTTAATGTTGAAAACAGTTGTGCTGCTTAATACAGTATTTTGTGATGAATGCATTTATTTTGTATTTTTGGGTTTGAAGGCTGTGGCATGGCTTTAGATCCAGAAGATACTCCATATTTAGAGATCCTGTGTGTCAGAGACCCAAGAGATGAAGAGAGCATGATGGAGACGAGGGACAGAGACAAAGAGAGAAGAGAGGGAGACATTAAGAGCAGAGGAGACCCTCAGGAGATCTCAGTGGAAAAACAAAACTCTCTGATCACACTGGCCTGGAGCAACCTAGCCCACACAGAGAATTACATTCAGGTACATACACACAAACATATGCACTCTTTCTATCTTAAATCTGCTCAAATTGTTCATTCATACATAAAATGGCCTAATTCTACAGGAAGTGACCTCGGCTCAGGAAGTAGAGGCCGTCTCTATTGTAATGCAGGAGGATACAGCTGATAACATGCATGTTCCTGACACAACTGTGAACAACTGTGACAGGAATGTGAACATTTACACACAGCAGGAGAACATAAGCTCCGTCTCACTGCAGCCAAGTGAACAATATGAAGAAATGCATTCAGATCACGCAGATGATGTGAAATTAAATACACAGATCCAAGATGACCGTTCAGGCTTCATCACAGTAAGACAACCACTTCAAATTATCCAGCTCTATCTTCCCTTTTGACAACATAATAAAGTGTCTCTGTGTTCTCTGCTATTTGCATACTATTTGTAATATATAATGTGTGAGATTAGGAATTGTTAGATCAGAGGTTCTCATCCTTTTTCAGATAACTTTTTTGGTTATCTGAACTTCTGTAATATAAAATACTTCCGAGATGATGATAATGCACTGAACTTTCAAAAGATATGAACTACTTTGTGAGATATTTATATTAGTATTTCTTTTTATAAAATAGTATTTTCTTATTTTATTTGCATGCTTATCACAATCTCACAAACCCCCTGAAGTTTCCACTGAGTTCTATAATAGTTATAAAAATGATTAAAATAAAAAATACCATAAATAATATAAATAATATCAGATCAGAGGTTCTCAACCTTTTTTGTTGTCTGAATTCCTGTGATATAAAATATGTACTTGAAGTGCCCCTGAGATGCTAATAAAGCACTCAACTTTCAAAAGATATCAATTTCATTGTAGGTTTGTACAAATATTTATATTAGTATTTTATTTTAAAATAATATATTTTTTTTACAATGTCACAAGCCCCCTGAAGTTCCCCCTAAGGGGTTCTGTAAGTTATAATAATAATAATTAAAATAATAATAATAATAATAACAATAATTGTCAGTTCTATAGCACCCTGCCCAAACCCAAAATTTAAAGCTGGAACTAAATGAATGAAAAATCCTTTCACAATAATTATACAACAAATGTGATTCTCATTCTCCAGGCTGGGCAGCAACAGGAGGACATAAGAGATGGAGAGTTCACATTCAGTGACACCCAACAGCCCGACCAAACACCACCCACTGCTCCAAGGCTGCTACAACACACTGACACAACAGACACTAACACAGCACCAGCAAGTGTCCATTTCCCAGACACGCAACCCTCGCAAACATTTGAGACCCATGAGATGGAGGCATCGCTTCAGGAGCTGAGGAACGAGGAGATCTGTGAGAGAGCAGGTGAGCGAGAGGCAATGATGCGCTGCCTAGTGGACATCCAGAGGAGAGCAGAGCGACGCTGGCAGCGAGACCGAGACAGACAACTACTCAGAGTGAGCCAACTCATGCTGCATGACATTTCTGTGTGGTGTGTTTATGGAAGCCCACTGCCACACGCACACACAAAAAACATGCTTTGCTAAATAATAATGACAAAAACTTACAATTACGACATAAAAAGTAAAAAAAAAAAAAAAAGTCGACATGAGAAGTCATAATTATGAAGTGAAACGTAAAAATGTTGAGAATTGAAGTTGCAGATGACAAAGCTGAAATTATGAGGAAAAAGTTGAAATTCCTGTTATGACTTGTCATCTCATAATTTTGACTTTTTATAATTGCTATATCTTAATTTTGACTAATTGCTATTATCTCATAATTTCACTTATAATAAAGACTTAGTATGTATTAATTTGGACTTTTTATCGTAATTATGACTTATCTCATAATGTCTACTTTTTATGTCATCATTACGATTTACCAGTGCATGCTTGTTGGAAATGGTCTTCCATGCATTTATTTGCAGAATATTTAGTTAAAAAGGCCATATACTTTGCTTTCGGACCTTTTTCAAACCTGTTCAGGTTCAAGAGCGACTGGCTATCGTCCAGAGTCGGAAGGCAGATGAAGATCTGTTGGGTCTGACGCAGGAAGACACACTCAGACATCTGACCGACACACTACAACAGGTACACACCCTCATACTTTCAGAGACCTCTATGTGGACATGATGTAAATGTTGATCGAATGTTCTAGGAGGACGAGCAACAACAGAAAACTTTAGTAAGAGAGAAACTCCAGCAGATGAGGAGAGAACGCTCCTGCATTCTCCAGACCAGACGGGAGAGGTAACATACACACTAATGCTAGGCTAGTTCATTCTGACAGTGATCACCAGGTGTTTCATGTCATTTAAAGGAGTACTTCACCCTAAAATTTCAATTCCGTCATCATTTATTCATCCTGATGTCATACGCTAAGTCGTATGTGTGTGTGTTTTTGTGGCTCATTTTGGTGCTTGAAATCTATGGAAACCCATTTTGCTTTGGTAAATCATAATTATGACATAAAAGTCATAATTTACATACTAAGTCAAAATTATGATAAAAGTTGAAAGACATAAGATGTTAAATTGACAAGTCAAAATTGACAAATAATTATGAGATAAAAATCTAAATTATGTTGAAAATTAAGTCGAAAGTGACAGGAAGTCGAAAGTTGAAATTATGAGATAAAAAAATCAAAATTATAAGATAAAAAAGTGTAAAGTGACATACTAATTATCATATAATCATATTTATCACATATATAAATTATATTTATGATAAACTGTCAAAACGACCTGTCATGAGATAAAAAGTCATAAATCGAAATGCACAAAAATCATTTATACGATTTTTCTTTAAATCATAATTATAATAATTTGTACCATGTTTATCTCATAATTATTACTTGGTATCTCACAATTTTGACCTTTTATGCCATAATTTGATTTACCAAAGCATCATTTTTAACATGACAGAAATCGGCTTCTGTATGAAACAACCTGTGGTGATTGAAAAAGAGCAGCATCAACAATCTGCTAAATTTCTCCATTTGTGTTGGAACTAAATAAGGGTCTTTTCAGAAAAAAAAAAAAGAAAGTTGCACTCGTCTAACAATGTTTTGTTTTTCTAGAAATACGGCTGGGTTTAAAGAGCTCCTTGCGCCCACAGCTCAACGCATGACAGAAACTGAAGAAGGACGCTAGTGCGTACTCAACCCCATTTCTACAAATATACAGCACACAGTCAAAACATTCATCCACTTTATTGATGTATGAGCACAAAAGTAGCTGTGTTTGAATGATAGCAACTTGTATTCGCGTTTCAAACACTTCCCCAGTTGCCAATGATAAATGCCGCCCCCTATAGGTTTATAATAGTGCTTACAATGCATGCACACATTGGCTGCTGATCTTTTAAGAAGACTGTGGTGTTTCTTTGGCAAATATTAAGTTGCATGACTCCTATACCTTTATCATAGACAGTAAGCACATTAAAACACTTCTGGGTTTGGTTTGCTTTGTATTAATCTCAGTAGAGAGTGTGTCGCCCACATGCATGCTATTCTGTCCTGCCATTGAATATAAACCAGCACAACAGTACAAGATGACTGACAGTGCCTGAATAACTGGCAAGTATATAATGAAACACGTTTGAACATTTTATTGAACTCCAGGAAGCTCCACAATGCCTCAGTCTTTAACAACTTTGTGCGTGCGTGTGTTAATTATAACTTAAACAACACAGTCTGTCTCCCCACAGACCGATATTTATATATTCAGAGAGCATATATACTGTGAAAGTCTACAATGGAAATGAAGTAGTTATGAATAAATTAAATTATTTTGCTTTGCCTTTAGTTATGCTTGTCTTTTCTTTTAAAACAGTGCATGAGTGAGTGTATTTGTAGGTAAGATTGCAGTAAATAAATGTAAGTGTATGTCTATATATACTGCAAGTGTGTGTGTTCGGTTCACTATATGAAGAACGTGGAGGGCGGAGATTGAATCTGTCCGACAAAAGGGAATTGTAATACTTCCCCAAAAAACTTGCAAAGAAATCTGGGACTACTGGTGGGCGCACTGCACCCCCGGACCATGCGGACCACCTTCTTCGTCGGAGCTGTCGTTGTATGCTTCACGGCGGTGACCACCAGATGATCCCTGGCTGATGTCAAAGTCCTGCAGATCAACTTCCTCCGCATCAGCTGAGATGACAGGAACCTCTGTACGCGACGGCAACAGATCCTCCAACTCCTGCGTGAACAAACACACACAAGAAATGGGCACCTCGTCAGGTACACTCAAGTGTTATTTTAGTATCATCTAGGTACTATTATAGTTTGTATTAGTTTTCATTTATATATTTTTAATTTTCTTTGTAATTTCAGTTAAAGTTGTATTAATTTTTTGTTGTTGTTTTTTTCACTTTAAATTTTTTTTTATTTATTTTTAATTTTTTTATGTGTCCATATAGTTTTTGTACATCAAATTAAACTGAATGAAAACGAGAAATATTTTCTAGGCAATAAGATTAAAAAAAAAATATATATATATATATATATTTTTTATTTTTTTTTTATTTTATTTTATTATTTTTTTTTTTTATGGTTTTAGGTAACCATAATAACAAGAAAGTAGCTCCAATACCCAACTTCTAAGATAAAAATGTAACATTTTACCCAATATTTGTATACTTTTGAAAACCAGTGTTGTTTTTTTTAAATAATTATTTATAAACTATTACTCTTAATACTATTAAAAGTAATATTATTAAATACTATTAACTACTATTAATATTTTTAATTAACTTTTATTTTTTGTATTTTCTGTTTTAATTTAAATGTAGTAAATTTGTTATATTTTTATGAGTTTTTAAATATTTCTATTTAGCTTTTAAAGGGGTCATATGATGTTGCTAAAAATAACATTATTTTGTGTATTTGGTGTAATGAAATGTGTTTAT